GGGGGGGGGGGGGGGGGGGGGAGAGATGCAGGCTCCCCGGCCGTTCCCTCAGCCCCTTTCCCAGCCTAGAGACCATTCTTGGAGGAAAGTAATGACAGGCCGCCCGCTCTCGCCCGGCACTAGCCAGGCCCGTGGCACGTTCCACCCCCTTCACCGAGGGCAGGGGCCTCATACGCCTCCTCGCCTAGCTGCACTTCGGAGGCGGCTCCCTCCCTCAGACTGACGGGCTCGCGGGGGCCTCCTGAGGTCCCTACAGCCCAGCCTCCACTAGCCAGCCGTCTCCTGGCTCTTTCCCGGAGCGACGGTCCCAGCGGCATCTGGGGAGCTAGCGGAGTCCGACGGCGCCAGCCACGTGCCCGCCGCGCGCCCTCCATTTTCTCGGCCCCGCCCACCAGTGGGACTGGGAGGTGGAAGGCGCTCTTGCCCGAGCAGCGCATGCGCTCAGAACGCGCCGGAAGCGACAGGGCAGCATGGCGGCTTACGCGGGAGGCGGCCTGAGTGCCGTGGTGAGTGGCCGTGACGGCATCCCCCGTCCTCGCGATCGCTCTCTTCTCTGCCTGCTCACGCTCGCCTTTGCTTCTGTTCCCTTTGCAGGATGTCCGGGAAGCAGCGGCGGCGCTTTCATTGCCAGCCGAGGCTTTCGGCAACGATGTGAGTATGGACATGGCGCAGGGCACGGAATGGGTTCCTGGCCTGCGGGCGGCGAGACTTGACTTGTCCCTTTACGTGTACTTGCAGCCCGCCGTGGAGATGCTGTGGGCCATGAAGGCGCACCAGCACGCCGAAGTCTACGGTAACGTAAGTAGGCGCCGCAGGGGGGGGGGGGGAGATCCCCATTGCGCGCCCCGGGCGGGACCATCGGCGGTTCTAGTGTCTCATGGGGCCCGCTTTCATTAGGGTCTCAGCCCGAAAGCAGGCACCACTGCAGGCGGTCATCCTCAGATGTTCTAGTCACTCCCTTATTTCCCCGGTGCGATTACTCTCTCTTCTGGATTATTGTCGACAGCCCCTTTAGACTGCAAAAGAACTAAATTCCTCCCACTCGTGCTCTTGTTGGAGTGGGGTGGTATACCTCACAACTGCAGAACTTTCTGAACAAGGAGACACTTGCTGTAATTTTAACAAGTTGCCTTGTGGATCAGTGTGTCCAAGGACAGACAGCTCTTGCTCTGAGCTGTCACCTGTGGCAAGAATGCAAGCTCAGTTCTTTTGTTAATATGGTTAGTTCAACTTCCAAGTTTAGAGGAGGGGATGCTGGGGCTTGCCTTTCTTAGTTTACCACCCAGTAGACAGACTGTAGACAATTTACAATCTGTCTTGCCTTCATCATGGGGCAAGCTAATATGCTCTTTTACAAGTTTCATTTAATCTCTTACATGCCTGGCATGTGTTCTGCTGTAGCTCATTTCTGCAGTTGATCCCAAGTTCCTGAAACTTACCAAAGCTGATGACCAGATTTATACAGAATTCAGGAAGAGCTTTAAAGACCTTAAAATTGATGTCCTTGATCCTGAGGATCTTAAATCTGAACCTGCTAAAGAGGTAGGTGCTGGAGGAGGTAGGAGGTCGGTGGCTGGGAAGTTCTCCTTTAGATCTGAAAGCTAATCCCAGCTCTTCTGTTCAGAAATGGCGACCCTTCTGCTTACAATTTGATGGGGTAGTTGAAGACTTTAACTACGGCACTCTTCTACGGCTGGATTGCAGCAAAGGTTACACGGAAGAAAACACTGTATTAGGTAAGAGGTTATTGCTGGGGAAGCCTTTGTTCATTGTTCTGGACGTGGTGGGGGAAAATGTTGTGTTGCTGGGAAAAGTGAAGGGTGCTTACAACAACTTTCTGTACTCACATCACCAGTCTTCTTGGTTTGCTACTGTTCTCCTTCGAAGGAGTGACTGTATTGCCCATATTTAGAGTGTGTTTGTGTGTGTGTGGGGAAAGCACAGTGCAAAGGAATTTTATTACTTGGAAGCTGGCATGAGAACCAAACTTGCTTGCCCTAAGAAAACTTTTCTTTTCAGCCACCAGGATCCAGTTCTTCGCCATCGAAATAGCCCGTAACCGAGAGGGCTACAACAGTGTTGTTTACAACAGGGCTAAGGAAGCTAGTTCATTCCAAGAAGAAGCTAGCTCTGGGTGAGGCCTTCAGATATCAGACACAGGCCAATAAATAAACTCAAAGGGATCATGGTTTTGTTTCAGTTGAGCAAAGTGACTATCCCTGCAACTGGTGCTGGACCAATCTTAAGATGCCAAAATGAACTAAATCTTGGCTCTGCTGGGGATGGGCCGAGAATGCAGTCGATTCTTCTGGAGTTTCAATATTTTGGAAATGAATTCAACATTAAACATCCTGAATAAAAGTCAGAAGGAACCGTGTTCTAGCTGGGCTGGATCCCACATCCTTTCAGAGATACACAGAATACTTAAATGGCAGAGCATTCTTCTTAACAGCTGGGCACTGATCATAGCCACTCTGATACAAGGACACTGATGTCTAACAAAACCACCATACTACATATAGTACCCAGAACTACAGAGGTGCTGCAAGATCTACATGTAATGCTGTGTTTGCCATCCAGTTTAGAAGGGAGCACTTGCTCACAGGCCACAGCAAGATCTTTTTCCAAGTAAACAGGCATGGGATCAAAATGTAAGCACAGTTCAGTGAGCCTTTTGAATAAGTATGAGCAGAATTCAATCTAAAGATTAATGTAGGGTTGAAGTAGAGAACTCATCTATGTGAGCTTAGTTTGGGCCCATGTTTTATAATGTCAGAATACTCATCAAATTCCTATGTCATACAGCTGAATAAATTATGTGTTAAAAGTACTGACTGCTTAAAGTATGAACTGTAGCACTTTCAGAAACTTGCTGCAAATGAGGTGGGGGGAGACAAGCAGCATTCCTGTCCTCCCCCTCTAGATGGCAGTCTCCACATTTGTTCTAGAGTTTTAGCAACTCCATGGTAGCAGCTCAAGTTTGGACATCAGCCACTACTTCCAAGACCTGTACCGTACTATATTAAGCACACTGCTTTGTGATTCATACTCTGTTCTATGAAAAGGGGGAACACCTGCAGTTCTAAAGTACAAAGGGAAGAGACCCAGAACTCCCCACTCAGGTTGAATGATCCTTTTACATCAGGTGAGGTGTGTAAGAAGCCTGGGAGGCAGCTGTTCTCTGAACACCTAAAAAGGTATTCTCCAGAACTTTTGCTCTAGCACTGTACCTAAATGAGCAGGATTGAATGAGCATATATAGTAGAACTGAGATTGCAGTAGGCTTGCTGGCATGTAGTCACTATGTGTGCAGCCATAGCTGCCTCTTAGTTCATGGCCGTGGGTTCATATCACACAAGCATGGCTCCACACAGCTCAGTAGAAACCACTGAAGTTTATTTGCAGCCACAATGCTTACACTGTATGCAGCAAACACCCTTACAAGTCATCCAGCAATCTGCTCACGCAAAAAGGACCCAACACACAATCGCCAGAGGAAAGAACAAAAAATAAAATTGAGGTGGTGCTATCTGGAAAGAGAAACCAGACAGAAGGTTAAGAGCTGGGCTAGGGGGTGCACAGAACTAGCAGCAAGAAGAGTGGGAAAAGTACAAGGCAGACAGGTTTCCCCCCCTCCCCCAATAATTTCCTCTAAGAGAATTTAAATACCCAAAATATTGATGATGATGAGGTTGCGGTACTGGAAAAAAAAAAGTGGGCTTATCTTAAGGGATTTTGTTACACATCATGCTAGGCTGACTTTGTTAGTAAGAACCCTCCCTGGGAACAGCCTACATCAAGCCCCACTGTTCTCAATGCAGACTCATACGTGGTCAGTATAGATAGTGCACAGAGAGCCTCTGAAGAAATTCAGGGCTGGGGATGCAGGACAAGCAGTTCCATTGGGGCGGAGAGAAACTAGCTCAGCCCCCCAGCCCCACACATTTCCCAGCTGCTGAGAAACAAGGGAGTTTCACGTGAACTGAAAGGAGAAAGGCTGGTGCAATGGGCTAAGGAAGAGGCGGAGACATACCAGCTCAGCCTTCCTGTGGCTGGCGAGGCAGGAGTAGGGGTTTTTTGGGGAGGGGGAGGAACACACTCTTAGGAGTATCACATAACATGGCATGGCTTTGTGTTCATAACAACATGGGGGGGGGGGGAGAGGAAGGACAAGTGGATGTATGTTAAAGGGATGTATAAGAAAAATATACATTTGGAATTTTACACTTTGCCTCTCTACACTTGTCACTAAATAGAACTCTGCCCTTTCATACCCCCTCGGTCCAGTAACACTGCAGGCAACCAGGAGACACAGCTTCCTCACTCACACACAACCCTCACTTCAGCATTGGTGCACTAAACTCTGTAAAAATTTCAATCACACTTTTTTTTAAACTGTCAATATAAACCTTGTTCAAAATGTTATGAAAAAATGTACATGTTTATACAAGGCAGGCTGCGGCAGGACACTGGGATTCCTCTCCGACATTCACACGGGGAGATGCTAATCTCCCATCTCTCCTCCCCAAGGAAACACAAGCCCCCATTGCCCTGGTGAACTTTTTACACCCCCTCCTCCTGCAGCCTAGCCCCAGGGACCAGCAGGGATCAGAAATGCCCTTTTGTCTTTCCATCGGAAAAGTTAACCTCCCTGGCCCACGCCAGAGAGAGCCTTCTCACGAGACGTCAGCTCATCATGTCGTTGCTGTTTACCCCATAGGTGGAGTTCTTCATAGAGTCATTTACCTCCCGACGGAATGCAGACAAGTTCTGCGTAAACCTGCCAAGGAGTCAAGCCAAAGCTGTGTTAGGAAGACCCAGTGTAGGCAAGAAACCACCCCTTAATCACAGATTGCAGGTAGTTGTGGTGGTTCAGAGGAAAACCCAAAAGCCATGTAATGCCTTTCTATAAAATTATGCAAAACAGTGTGCACGACTTGAAAGTTTGAACACAGCTTTGTGTTATTTTGGTTGCTTTTTGTCCTTGGATTCTTAACCAGTTTGTCCACAACAGGACTACAAGGAACCGTTCTACTTTGTATAAAGGAAGCCCTTGAGACACAAAATGACAGGACTGATCTTGCACTGTCATGAGTTTCCTCTAGGATTGCTTGAAAGAGATCTGATTATTCCCTGGGTTTTCAGGCTGGCAATTTTGCTGTGAAGTTGGATCTGGAAGGCTCTCCGTTTTCATTTATGAGATCAACAGGCATTTCTAGCCCTTATGATTGAGAAGTAAAATTTTGAAAGCAGATCTTTTACCAATCGTGAGATTGTGGTTTTGATTACAGTTCCCTACAGTTTCTGGCCCTGCCCAAAATTAACATTACCTGCTTCTGTTCACACTATTTCTATCCCATTTCATCTTTTTTTTTTTAACTTAAGGGTTTTCTGAAAGACTCCTGATCTGAATTTTCTACATATAATCATGCCAACTATAAAATCAAATAGGTGTAAAGGAATTTTTTTGTTTCCAAGAGTATCCACAAATTAGGGGCTGTTACTGGAATTTGGAACCTCTTTGCACAAGGTTTTGGGTTCAATACTGCCTCTGACATGCAAGGGAGAGTGGCTGCCATTCAGAATACAAAGTACTGAGACAACCAGACCAATGGCCTGATTTAGTACAAGGTGGCTTCCTATGATACCTGTATAATTGTTCTTCCAAGTCTTTTTGGAATGGAATTCTTCTACCGTCTCCCTAGGCAGTTTCTCCCATTGCTGAACTGCTGTTACAATTAGGAAAATACTTCCAGCTTTTGATAAATCTTGTTGTTGGTTGATATGTGGGTATAAAACTCCAGGGTGCATCTCTGTACAATGGGGATGTCTAAACCTGCAGCAACTGTTTCTCCTTCTAAGAAGATCAGAACACTGTTGATATTTCCTCCTCCATTTCTCAGAATAATTTTGCTAGAATAAGCATTTCCAATCCTTTTAGACTGCATCATGGGATCTGCCTTTAGACACTTCAGCAGCATGATAAATTCTTCTGCTTAGGGCATTGCCTGCTAGGAAGTGCTTGTCTACTTCAGTGAAATGGGTTTGTGGGGCAAAAAGAGGATGCTTTAAATACTGTGTGCAAACATTTGTAAGGTGGGGCACATGCAGACTCCTTACTCTGTCCTCAAATAAGATTTCTGAACATGGCAAATCCTTGTCCAGGAAATTCTATACAGCTCACAATCTCAAATGATTTCTAAGCCACGCTGCTTCTACAAGAGAGGCTCTGGAAGAGCAGACTCTCCCAAGGTGCCGTGGCTCCTGCAAAGCATTTTGGAGAGGGCCTAGCTCTTTTGCTTTGCAGTGATGCAGGCTGCTCTGAGGCACAAAGGAGATACTGACCTATCACGATTCTTGGTGAGCAAATTGCGTTCAATACCCTCCATGAGGTTTTCAAAGCAGAGATGCATGGCTTGCTGTTTCTCAGGGGGCTGGCTGTTTACTATACTGTTCCTTAGGTCTGAAAAATACTGGAAAACAAAATGGGTGGAGTGGGGAAAAGAAAGGCATATGGAGTTAGACATCGAAGGACTGAGTGCTGAAAGGAAATGTCACCTTCAGAACACTCAGTCTGACATAGCTACAGCTTAGATCCTAAGCCTTGTTTCTGCTGCCCTTTGGCTGTAGCAGAGGTAGTCCTCTGCTGTGTAGCATGTATCTCTGACATCAGGCACTTTTCAGCTCACGGAGACACTGGTCTTGCCTGAACTGAAGCTCCTAGCATAAGAAGAAGAGACTGGATTTATACTCTGCTTCACTCAGAGTGGCTTACAATCTCCTTCCCTTCCTCTCCCCACAACAGACACCCTGTTAGGCAGGTGGGGCTGAGAGAGCTCTGAGAGAACAGCTCTCAGAGAACCTTGACTGACCCAAGGTCACCCAGCAGCTGCATGAGGAGTGGGGAATCAAACCTGGTTCTCCAGATTACACTTCACCACTCTTAACCACTACACCAAACTGGCATGCATTCTGCAGAGCAGCAGCACCTCTGTCACAGACAAGGGTCAGGGTGAGTGAAAGCAAGGCTTAGGATCCAAGCCTAGGTCAGAAATGTACAGGGAGGCACAGGGGAAGAGCTACCTTTTCATTGAGCAGTATCAACCCAAGCAGAGGCCGAGACATGGACCACTGGTTCCTGCAGTCCTCAAAAATGATGATATTCAGCACGGTTGACAGCATCTGGAAGTCAAGTCACAGGTGCTATATCACTGCTCGTTTATGGGGAGAAATACTGTTTTATGAAGAAAAAGCTTCCAGTCACTGGTGCTATTCATGCTTACCAACAGGTGGCTGTGGAAGGGATGCATATGTGCACTAAGCAAGCTTGAAGGCCTCTTCCATATACTGATTCCCTTATGGAGGGTATCACACTTAAAAGAACAGATCCAAGTCCAGTAGCACCTTGTTGGTCTCTAAGGCACTACTGGACTCGACTCGAAGTACTCTACTGCAGACCAACACGGCTACCCCCTAGAACACTTAAAGCACCCCCTTGGTGCTCTTATGATTTATTGATGCCTTGCAGAGGGTGTGCCTATAGACTGCATTGCAATCTAGTTATATTACAATAACAATACCCTCCTCGCTCAAGCATGCACAGAACAAGCCGGAGGGAAAAACAAGGCAAGTAGGTAGCTACGTGTATGAAGGGTGGGTGGTAATTTGTATTTTGTGATGCTCTTGGACAGACTTCCTGCTCCTAGTAAGACTGATCTGCTAAGGCCTTGGACAGCCACATGACCACAAATATCCTATGTGGGTCCCCTAAAAGA